GAACTCTGGAAATCAGTCTTGACCCTGTGCAGTATTTAATGAAGCAGAAATTAAGTCTATGCATATGCTAATTAAAGATGAAATCTCATATTAATTTTAACAAACTGGCTACCTGTTCATTGATTGCTGAGTTCAGGGAAGAGTGCTGTTCAGTTCAGTCAAGGTTGGAGCAAAAGAGATAATAAATTGGATTTGTTTGATACAAGCAGACAGCTTTTTTCCTAGGATATTTGCATTGCTTTGTTATCAAAGTTCTTTCCATTTTGGATTAATACATGAATTCTTCCAACTAAGATATATTAACATTAGCATTTTCTGAAAGGTCTACCTTGGGCATTGTTTCCCTGGCAACCAATCACTGCTGCTAGGCAGGGAAAAGGCCTAATTCATTCTTCTAAAGTGTCACCAATTTACATATAATTCACACATACATGTGTCAAACAATGCATATATATGTAGATGTCCAACAATATCACAGGTGAGAAAAAAACAGTGTCCTTCCAGGAAGTGGAAACCTTGGACACTATAGTAGCCTTTGCCTTTATAGCCAAATCAGATTGGAGCCATTAACACTTAATTTTATCAAAGAAAAAAAAATGTGATGTGCTATTTGTATTTGCAAACTTCCACTGCTCTCTGTGGTTGAGAAAAATAATGTAAGAAATATAGCCTCCTGGATATTCTATGGCCTCAAGATTTCACCCTGATATTGTTTTTAATAATTTTTAAAAGTCAGACAGAAGCATAGTATTTGAGGTGAGAAATTCCTTATGCATAAAACATTTTGGAATTTGTGTAGGACAGAATTAGTAAAGGAGGAATATGAGGATACTCTATAACTAATAGGAACATGTACAGAAATAGTCATAATAATTATCATATATAAAATGATAGTGACACCATCATTACTTTTGGTTGCAGCCAGCCTCCAAAATACCAATGATCCCTTCCTCTTGGTAGTCACACCTTCATATAGTTCCCTCTCACTCTACCAGGGTTGGTTGGAGCAGGCCATGGAATATAGTGGAAGTGATCGTATGTCTCCTTGGGTATTAGGTTATAAAAGACACTAAAGCATTTATCTTGGTTGCTCTTTCTCTTTCTGAGATACTGTGTTTTTGAGAAAGCCAGCTGTGTCACGAGCAGCCCTATGGAGAGGCCCAGATGGGGAAGAGCATCTGGCCAGCAGTGCAGTGAGCTAGAAAGCAGTCTTAAAAGCCCAGTTAAAGAAATGTGTTTAACAAACTCGGTGATCTAACTAAGGAGATTTCCAGAGAAAGGGTTGAAAGTGCTTTCTGATTTCTTCTTGCTACTTATCAAGTTGAGAAAGAAGATACATGAACTAAACAAAGACCCGTTAAAGACTAATGAGCTGGGACTTAATGATTTTGAGAATTCTCAGCCCCTCCAGATGGGAAATAATGCTAAAATTAAGAAATGACTTCCTAATTAAGAGCACTGAAGAAATAAAATAAGCTATCTCTTCTCAAGGGGTTTATAATCTAGTTTGGCAATGGACACATAATAACTAAATATAATACATGCAGAATCAAATATATGATAAATAGAAGTTCTAAGAAAGTGATAAGGGACTATGGAGGAAGGGTTGTAAAAGGGTTCCTGGTGAGTATGTGCCCTTTAAGCTGCACCTTGAGTGACGTGTAGATATTGGCAGGGAAAAGGATAATAAACCTCAGCATCTCCTTTTGTTTATCCTAACAAAGGATCATCTTGCCTGAGGTATTTCAGAATCACCATATCTAGACTTTCAATGGGCAGCAACCATGTACTTTGGTAAAATGCAAAACACATAACCAATAGAAGGTGCCTGTGCAAAATAATTCATTAGTCTATACGGATGGACCAGACAATGTTTGCTCCTCTGAGGAGGAGTGAATTACTGCTGCTGTCCTCAACGGGCTTCTGTTTTAATTGGGGAACCTAGGCAAATAGTATTACTTTTATTTTAGACATTATATACAGATTGCATGAAAAAGGAACACAGCTCAAACTGGAGAGCTTACAGTATTTTTAATAGGCTGATTCTTGAGTTGCATCCTGAAGGATCATCATTAGATGAAAGGAGAAAAAGCAATATTACATGAGGAAAAGACTGTTCCAAAGTTAGAATTTGAAAGTGAACATGGAGCATTTAAGGAACTCTAAATAACTCAGCAGAGTAAAGCATAAATGTGAAAAGAAACGGCAAGAGAGGAGAGGGGGAAGGCAAGCCTACACATTGCTGAGAGTGTTTCAGTGGTTAAAATGTTGTTGGTGCATCAGATCTGATTGTTACCCTTCATGTTCCTTCCACATTAAAAATGATGTGAAGTGCTCATCACCACTGTTGACCTGGTGCAGTAAATCATGTGAATAAACACAATCTCTGCTTACACAACTAAAGTTGCTGTTAAAAAAATTCACATTCTCAACCAGCAAAAGATCATTCAACTAGCTCATTTGCTTTTAAAGTTCAAAATAAAGATATGATGATAAATAACTATCTATATATTACTTTTTTAAAGTACTACATACTGGTTTTTTGGTTTAAAAGCAATTATATTCATATGGCTCTATGCTTTCAACAATTCTAAGAAATCTTCATACAATATTGCACCCATGTAGCCTGGTTTGGTGCCATAAGCCTGGTTTGGATCACCATCAATCGATCATTAAAAAAATTACCAAATAAAATAACAAGCTAATACTGACAGGAAATATTTGTGAATCATCTGTGTTTGTGTGTTGTTGTTTTTTATAAAGGATTTTTATCCAGAAAATATAAGAACTCTTATAATCCAGTAAGAAGACAAACAACCCAGTTAAAACATAGGCAACAGATCTGAATAGTAGACATTTTGCTAAAGAGGATATGCAAATAGATAAGAAGCACATAAAATATACTGAATATTATTTGTCATTAGGGAAATATAAATTAAAACCACAATCAGTTCCCACTTCAGACCCTGTAGAGTGGCTGCACACTCTGACACAAGGATAAAAAGAAAAGATGAACTCACTCATTTTTAATGGGAACATAAGATGGTGCAGCCATTTTGAAAAGCTGTTTAGCAGTTTCTTTAAAAGTGAAACATAAATTTACCATACAACCCAGAAGAACTGAAATTCCTAGGAATCTACCCAACAGAATTGAAAACATGGCCACCCAACACTTATATGTGATTATTCATAGCAGCATTATTCATAATAGGTAAAAAGTCAACACAACCCAAATATCTATCAACTGATGAATAAACAAAATGAAATATGTCTATGCAATATAATACTATTCAGCAATAAAAAGCAATGTAGCCCTCACTGGTTTGGTTCAGTGGTAGAGCATCTGCCTGCGGACTCAAGGGTCCCAGGTTCGATTCCGGTCAAGGGCATGTACCTTGGTTGCGGGCACATCCCCAGTGGGGAGTGTGCAGGAGGCAGCTGATTGATGTTTCGCTCTCATAGATGTTTCTAACTCTCTATCCCTCTCCCTTCCTTTCTGTAAAAAATCAATAAACTATATTTTAAAATAAATAAATAAATAAATAAATAAAATAAATAAATAAAAAGCAATGTACTATTTGTTATGATGTGAATGAACCTCTAAAATATTATCTAAATGAAGGAAGCCATATGCAAAAATATAATTCCATCTATTTGAAATGTCCAGAAATGCAACTATAGAGAGACATAAAGTATACTAAGTAATCATCTAGAGTAGGGTGTGGGAATGGGAGTGACTGAACATGGGCACAGGGATATTTTGGGGAGATAGCAATGTTCTCAAATGAGATCAGTGAGAAATTTACACAATTCTGTAAATTTGCAAAAAAAAATAATTAAATTATACATGTAAATGGGTGAATTTTGTGGTATATAAAACCATCTTCTTAAAATATATTTTCATTGATGTCAGAGAGGAAGGGAGAGGGAGAGAGAGATAGAAACATCAATGATGAGAGAGAATCATTGATTGGCTGCCTCCTGCATGCCCCCCATTGGGGATCAAGCGCAACCTGGGCATGTGCCCTGACCAGGAATCAAACCGGCAACCTCTTGGTTCTTGGGTCGACGCTCAACTGCTGAGCTACACCCGGCTGGGCTATGAAACTATTTTTAAAATACTTTAAAAAAAATAATATCCACTAGACCAGTGATGGCGAACCTTTTGAGCTCGGCATGTCAGCATTTTGAAAAACCCTAACTTAACTCTGGTGCCGTGTCACATATAGAAATTTTTTGATATTTGCAACCATAATAAAACAAAGACTTATATGTTTGATATTTATTTTATATATTTAAATGCCATTTAACAGAGAAAAATCAACCCAAAACATGAGTTCATGTGTCACCTCTGACACGCGTGTCATAGATTCGCCATCACTGCACTAGACAGTAGCCTCCTTTGAAAACGGAGAAATATAAATGGTCTCAGGGTCTCTCACTCAGTAGGTGGCGCTTCCGGTTGGGTATAAAGGCACACCTCATGAATCCAGGCTCCATCATTTCAGCAGAGAGTAGGAAGAAGTAAACTAATGTTTGTACTTAAGGAAGGCATTTTCTAAGCAAATTCACCATGTACACAAGCTAACAGGGGCAGAGCTGGAATGTTTACAAAGAACAGATTTTTCAATCCCCTGTGAATACTGTAGCAGCACCCACGTTAATACCAGGACCTCCTGGTATAAAGTATTCTCATACATTACAGCAGATCCTTTCGCATCCCCACAACATAATCCTTTGATAGATCATTGGAGTTTCTGTATTTAAATATTAAAAATATTATCCAATTCAGACATGTATTCCCACTTCCACTCCAGTTTGTTTAAGTGAGAGCCATTCATAGCACACTTCTGGAATTATTAATGTCATTATACCTTGACCAGGCATATACATCCCTCATGCATATGCACATTCTAAGGAACGGAGACTATACAAGTAGCCAAAAATGCATGTTTAGATTTTGGTGACTGGGGATACATTTTGCCCTTAACATCATGTACCTGGAATGCGATGGACCTCTTTCCTGGGAAGTTTGGGAGGACAGACTTCCATCAAAGGAGTTTCGGTGGCAGCCTGACATGGTGGCCTGGGGGGAGATGGAATCTGACTGGAAGGTTTCACAGACCACCTGGAGGCCCTTTAGGAGGAAGAAATAGCAGATTAATCTTTTTTTCCCTCAGGTACACCCTCCAGAATCAGCTATCATATTACATACATTGGTGTTTTTTTTAACTTAAAACATTGCAGCATAGCTCCTTTTACAGTCATAGACCAAGGAATTTTGCCTTCAACTAACAGAGAGTGGAAATGGACTTGGAGAGAGCACTGGTGTCAATCTAAGCATTAAGCAAAGTATTTTTATATACTTGATTTCATTTTTCCCTTACTCAGTCCCTTTTCACCTCCATATCCAGTATCCACAGGAAAAGAGTTACAAACCAATAATTCATCAGATATGCCAATACTGAGGTGGACCAAATAGAGTCATGAGGCTGAAACCAAGCAACAGGTTAGTAAGAGCTAATCAAATAGAAGCTAGACATGAAAGTGGAAGTGCAAGGTTTAGGTTTTTCCACCATTCAGCAGAGTAAGGACACAATCTATGTATTTTTCCAGTTGGATACAATGACCTTTATTCTGAACAAAGGCTCAGGGGCTAAAACTGCATGCTCTGTATATTGGACATAGTGCTTCATTAATGGCAGGGATAACCAGGGTCTTGTAATAATGGTGATGCCAGGTGGCAGAAGCACAGAGAACTAGAGAGGGGAGCTTGGTCTTTAGATAATGGATCCACTGTAGGGTCCTAAGAAGGAAGGGATATGACAAAACGATGACACCTGGCATATAATAAGCCTCTGTGGAATGGTGAGTTACTAAGTAATGCCTTGGGAAGATTAGTCAGACATTATTAATTGTTATTTATGTGAAGCAGGAGAGGCTAGAGGTAGAAAATCCAATTAGGTGGTTCAAGCTTCATTCTAGTTATGAGGACTTGGATTTAGAGGGTAATAGTAGAGAATAAAGAGCACCTCTGAGCTACATAACAAAAAGAAAACAAAATATGATTTCTGAGCAAAAAAATCAAATAGAGAGGATTAAGGAAAATGAAATATGACATTTATGCATTTTATCTACGATGTCATCAGTTATAAGATACACCATTATTTTATGTTCAATTAAGGAAAAAGCTAGGACACTTCTTATCAGTGAGGACTTCCCATTTCACACTTATTAAAGGGGCTATCTCAGACTTATGTAGGTATAGATTTTGATTATATATTCATCAGTGTGTCTGTAAAAAGAAAAATATAAGTGAACTAATTTGGTGTAGGCATACCTAATTTTTTTTTTTACATTTAGAAATTTTAACCAGAGTTGTTGATATGTGATTTTCCATGGAATGACTTTTTCTGTGTCAAGAATGTTGTTTTGTAAAAGAGTGCACCACTATACCCTCTGCCATATTCTTCTAAAACCACCAATCCTGATTCTGCAAATTCAGATGCTGGAATGACCAAACTCATGCTGTGCAATAATGACAACTATATCAAGACTGCTACCCAGCAGGGAGACTGTAAGAGGACAAAGATCATCAAATACACTCAATTTCAAAAATGTTAAAAGTGAAAAAAAATACATGGTAGGAGAGATGAAATGTAGCATATAAGTCACAGTGTCTGTATTGAGCAATTGCTCAGTAAATAGCACCCCACAATTTTCAGTTTGGAGGGCATAAAGGATGATGAAACTCCTAGTAGTAATGCTCCATCATTTGAAAAAAGGATCCGATTTTGATGGAAGCCAGCAAGTTGTAACTTGTGCATGTTGAATTGGAGGTGAAGGCAGGTCATTGGCACACATGATTAAGTTAGTGGCAGGAGCTTCGAACTACTCTTGCCTTCATTTCTTTCTTTTCCAAACCAAATAGTGCATGAAAAATTTCCATTGAATTATATTTGATTTATTACACATAATCTGTTTTATTGTATTAGTCTTGATTCCTCATTAAACATTTCATTTCCTTAAGGGTAGGACTGTATATTGTGACTCTTTTCTACTCCCTCCTCCCTACCTGCTACAGTACTGTCATACTTACATGAGGATTGCCGAACAAATATTAGGGGACTTAATAAATGACTTAGAACAAGATGATTAGTTAATGTGGGACGAAAAATGATAACTAACATTTAATGTTACATGCTAGCCATTGAGATAAAGCGCTGCTTACCACACACTAACCAATAGCTGAACACTGTCTTGTTTCAGCACCCCACCCACAATTCTGAGAAGCGCATAAGATCATTTTCCACATTGATAGATATAAAACGTGAGGATGTTTAAAGTTTCACATGCAGGCAGGAAGAGCCAGCACTGAAGCCAAGTTGAATCATCCTAGAACTCATGTCTTACCCTTCATACTACACAGTGTCCAAGGAATGACCGCCCCCTTTCTTTTCCGAATAAAAATGAACTCACCTCTCCATGACTTGTGTCCTGATTTGGTGATTCACAGGTCTGACTCTGACTGTTAATAGGAGAGCTTCTCTTAGCTGCAAAGATGGAAGAAATTCTATCACAAATTTTATAAGTTCATTTTATTTTATAAGTTCATTTCATTCTCAAATAAAAATACCTATTTTTACAGTTCATTATCACCTTGGAAAGAAGACATTTAATAACATATGTTGGAAGAAAAATCAAATAACTAATTCAAAAATTAGCATTTCTAGGTTGTCAATCTAGATCTGGTCATCTATTCAGTCTGACTCAATAGATTAAGATGCTAAAAAGTTGGCGATACTGAAAACAATAAAATTAACATCTACCTAGTACTTAATATCTGCCAAGTCTGTTACAATTGTTATATATCAACTTACTTAACCCTTAAAGTAATCGTATAATAGCATATGGTATATTATTAGACCCATTTTACAGGTGAGAACATAAAAGCACAGCAAGTTTAACTTGCCCAAGGTCACACCCTTTTATGAAGGCTCCAGCTCAGGTTATCTGTACTTTCATGACCACAATAAGCTGCCCCTGAAGTACCATAATTCAAATCATTTCCATCGTTAGCTAAAATGGCAATGCTCCATTTGAATTGTGAGCAATCTGGTGCTGAAAGTGGTTTACCAACCTCACAAGATAAGAAACCTGGGGGGTGTCAACCATGTGCCATTGCTTTTTCTTCTGGCCCCGTTGTCTAAGCAGAGTTTAATTTCCCTCAGACGTTGGGCACCATTCCCAGTCCTCGGGGATCAGGAAGAGGGAAAAGAACCCACTGTGGAATCATCCGGAAGCAAAGGGAGGGGAATAGTCCAGGTACTATTCACGCGGACATGAATTCTCAATAGGTTTTGTACATTGGTTAAACGATCGTTTGGGTATGAGGAAAGAGAGGGAAGGAGGTAGAGAGAAAGAGGAAAAGAGAGAAAACCTAAGTCTGAGGTGACCTCTACATTCATATAGGAAAATGGGAGGTCTGAAAACAAATGAAAAAAATGTTTTACACAAAGACATGGCTTTTCAGTAATAGTTTTTTACTGAATATTTTATTTTCTTATGTGTTATTTACAACTGTTTTTAGTTTTTTAACCTCCTATATATCTTCTCTCTCAGATTACTTTAATCCAATGAAATAACCTCATTCTATCCATGGAATCTGAAATAGAGCGATCCTGGCTATGGCTCTTTCCTTATTTAGTTTCTTGACATTTAAACCATATGACAGACTGTTACTCTTGATTTTATAGCTTATTTCAATAATTCATGTATTGCATGCATGGAAGTTGTGGGGTTAATCTACTTTTACTATATGAAAAATGTCATCTTTTTGAATGACTATTGTAAGCATGATAAACGTCTTATCCTACAGATGAATAACATGGCACTCCTAGTTTACAAAATTCCTTAACATATTTTGTACCTTGAAAAGTTGTATTAAGTTACACAGGAAGTTTAATGGACTTATTCAAAGTCACATAACACAACAGCATATGCCCTTGGTTTGGAGTTTGTGATCATGAGAATGACTCCTGTACTGGGCACACCTCAGTAACCCCCTAGAGAAAGTTCCTTTCTCTTGGCTTCTTTAAGGCAAATGCTCCCATCACCCTCCTTCCTGCACATGAGGAAGTCTGCTGAGACCAGCTCACTGGGTGTCTGAGGCACCAACCTGTGATGATGTTCCTGATGGGCTTCACCAGTGCCGTGAAGCCAGACACTTCGGGCTGTCTGTGCTCCCACATGGGCTGCCATATAACAAGCCCGCTGGCCAGTCGGAACGTGAGGTCAGATTCCTGGGGGAAGAGAAAATCCAGGTCTAAGTGGCCTCTAAGAACTGGTTGAAGGGACCAGTCCATGCAAGGATTAACATCACTCACAAGATTATTTTCAAAATGGGTTGACTTTCCAAATCTTTCATCACACAAATGAGTGTTTCCATGGTAAACCAATAGTCCTAGGTTATCGTCACAAATACTACGGAAATCACGGTGGTCTGCTTTAGGCAATATTAGTATTTAATTAAAATTCTGCTTTGGGCAAAGCATGAAACACACAAATTATTGTTTTGTATTAGCAGTGACCGAGGCCTGTTTATTTCAAGTCTTGGCAGATCTCTCTCCTGTGGTAATCATTATTATTCCTCTTAATTGTTTAATTGTCTGTCTTCCTCATAAGGCAATATCCTCAGATGCTGGCTATTTGACTTTCTATTCTCCAGTCCACCTCTTGTTCTTGCATTTCATGGGATCAGGAACATATATTTAGATTCTTCCTAGTGTATTATTTTGTAGTGTTGCCTTCTCAACAATCTTTAACTTCTTAAGGGTGGGGATATATCAGGAATCTTCCCTTCCCCACAGCCCCTATCATCATCATAATGCTTAACACACACAACAGAATTGGATGCACAATATGCGCTCAAAAAATACTTGCTGAACTGCACTGACTTTACAACCCGAACTCACTCAATGTATCTACAATTAAAGGTCGATTGCAGGGAGCACATTTTGTGTTTCATCATCACATCATTTTGAGAGGCTACGCTTAAGATGCATTCTCCTATTGCATAAGTACAAACACGTGACATTCTGAGATTACATGTTAAACAACTCAGCCTCTCAAAACAAAGTAGAGATGGAAGCAGAGAGTGTGGTAGATTAATGCACACAGCTGAGACCCAGACATTCACTTAGGGAAGTGATTTGCAACCTTGGCTGGCATATTATAATCGCCTGGGGAGCTTTTAAAACACAGGGGGCCCGGGTCCCACTTCCTTCCCTTCCCAGACCAATTAAATTAGAGTTGCTGTGAGGCTTTCTAAAGTTCCCCCTGGTGACTCCCTTCACATAGACATGTTTGAAAACCACTGATCTAGAAAGATAAGAGCTGGGAAGAAACTGGAGAAAAAGTAAAGCAATTTTGCAAATGGTAAATCAATGTAGCTCAGTGTCAAAGGAAGCCTCCGCTGGAAAGCCTGAGGAAATACCCAAATAAATCTGCATATGGGGAGAGAGAGGGCTCTTCTGTAGGCTATTGATTGGGATCCTGGCACCACAGCAGTGCCCACAATAGGAACGCCTCTAGGACTCCCCGTGGAAGTACATTCATTCTGTAAGCATTTAAAGACCACCCACTATGTACCTGGTGCTATTCTAGGTTCTGGGATACATCAGTGAACAAAGCATACAAACCCCCCTGCTCTTCTAGTGCAAAGGAGAATAAAGCAGGTACAAAGATGTGTCAGGCGGTATTTCTGTTTTAGACTGAGGATCGCCAGGGAAGGCTGTATTGTGAAGGTTAACTTTTGAGAAAGGAGCTGAAGGAAATGAAGGAGCTGCTATGTAGATTTTTGTAAAAAAAGCATTATGTGAAAAGGGATCAGCAAGCACAAGGTCCTAAGAATGCCTCATGTGTGAACAAATAGCCAGGAGACGAGTGATTTCAGAACAGTAGAAAAAATATGGTCATAGAATTTACCGATTTCCAAGTAATACAGGGCCTGATAGGCCACGTTGGGGACTTTGGCAATGATTGAGTAGATGGGAAGCCACTGGAGGGTTTTAAGTAGTGGAATGACATGATTGGGTGTATGCTTTGGTAGAATCTCTCAGGATATTGAGCATTAAGGGCAAGGGTGGAAAGGGTGACTTAATTAGGAAGCTCTATTCTAGGGGAAAGATGATTCAACTAAGGTGCCAGTTGAGGGCCAAAGTGGAAGATTCTGGACACATTCTGAAGATAGAGCTTACTGATCAGAAGTGGAGTGTAAGAGAAAAAGGTGTCAAAGACTTTTGGCTTTGTCATTAATGAAGATAAAGGAGGAACAGGTTTGGGGATATTCAGGAGCCTAGTTTTAGACATGTTAGGTGTGAGATGCCTGTTAGACATTCAGCTAGAGATACTGAGTAAAAAGCTTGGCGGGCAGGTCTGGAGTGAAGGAGAGAGCAACCCCGTTCCCTTGAAATGGACGTGGGGAAAGCTGCATAGCATTAAGTGTGGTGTCAGAGCCAGCAAGCAGAGAACTAATAGTAAGCAAAGCTTATCAGATTTGTCTCCGAAATGCAGGACACCAATCTCAATTGACCTGGTTTCAATAATTTTGTAGTTTCTGAGCTCAGTCCTTTTACCATGTTTCTCATAAGTAATCTTGACACAAATTATACTCCATGGACACTGCAGCAGTAAGTGAGCTCTTATATTAAACCCTGGTGGTAATCACTCACTGAGAGTTACTGTCATCATTTTATTTCATCTGATGTACTCCCAACTAGACTGTGTATCTCTTGAAGACAAGCTGAGACCTCCTTCTGTTGTGTGCACTTACCCTCAAGCATCATACTTATTTATTGATCGGTTTTAGTTTCCCCAAATAACACCAGTAAATACGATCACTCTTCAGACCTGAATACTTGCAGAACCCATGGCTTTCTCTTGATTTCCTTCATAAGTTCTCTTAAGTTAGCTGAATCCATAAACTCTGGAGCCCTAATTCCGCTTCTAAAGTCCTATGTAATGGGCCACCCAATGCTATGTATGCATACATGACCAGAAACTCATAGCTGGAGAAGATAATCTTTATCATTCAAACAGCAAGGGAGCATACAATGATCTCAGGTACTGAAAAGTACTAAAAAAGAAAAAAAATATATAGTCATGTGCTTGTGGCACTAAAGTAGCCAGGGAAATGCTTTCTGAGGTGGTGACATTTGAGTTGTGAGTAAATCCATGAGAAGGACATGGCCATGTACAAATCTAGGGGCAAAGCATGGCAGTAAATGTTTCAAATGGAAGGAAAAACCAGTGCAAGGAACTGAAGGCAAGAATGAGCTTGTCCAGTTTGAGAGTGGAGGTTAATGAACAAAAGAGAGGCTGGTGAGATGGAGGGTGATGAGACCGAGAAGGTAGGCAGGACCCAGGACCTGCAAGTCCCGTAGGCCAGAGAACAGTCTCAGTTAAAGCAATGCCTTCCATTGAGTGTAACCGTTATAAAAAGACTTTTTAAAATGAAAAGTTAAAGCTTTCAAAGTAGCTATTTAATTTGATCTAACAACATTTAAAAATTTTAGTATGTTTCATGGGCAATGCGGCCAGTGCATGCAAATCATTTGAAATTCA